GGTGGGTGGTAACGGAAAAACTGAATTTTTTTTAAAAAAGAAAAAACTTTTTTTGGAGAGGGGGGGGTGAGGTGAGTTGGTGAGGGTTGGGAAGGTTGAGAAGGAGTTTTGGAAAATATTTTCCCTTCTCTTGATAAGGAAAACATTTTCCTCCAATTGGAGGTAAATGAGTTCATAAGGAAAATGTTTTTCAAAACATTTAAGCCAACCAAACATGGGAAAATTGAAAGACATTTTTCGGAAAATATTTTCCTTCATACTAAACACACCCTGAATCCATCAAACTAAAATTCTAGATTTTCTTTGTGCATAAAGCTTCCAAGGGAGTTTATGAAGGTTAGGGTTCATCTACCTATTATCCTTTAAGGTTTTAGGCTAATTAGATACTCAAAGTCTGTCAACACAATATAACCAACCTAAGAATTCAATTATGTTTACAACATATATATATAGATCACTTGAACTTAGTTGTGGTGTTTAACTAATTGGGCAGATCTATATTTTAAATGGATTACAAAGGAAGGGAGAACATTTAAGCGCATAGTGTATATGTGCACTATGAAAATACCATTTTCAAAGCTTAAACAAAAAGAAGGGAAAAGAAAAGGAAATTTAAAGTCGTCAACAAACAACAACAACAACAACAAAAACAACAATATATCCAGTATTATATCATACCGTAAGATTTGAGAGGGTAATGTGTACGCAGACCTTACCCCTATCTTGTGAGGAGAAATTTAAAGTCAAAATCGATTAAATTATGTGGTCATCTAATCTCAAAATTTAAACTATTAAAAGAGTAACCTTTAATTTATTTAAGTTATATTTTCAATATGTCTATCACATACAGTCGTGATTCTTTTTTGGGGTATTATCACTTTTAGCCCGCGCCAGAAATTATTTATATTCGATAGCCGAAAAAGTATATTAAATTTGTATAATTTTTGCATATAACATACAGAATGTATAATATATAAAAAATATATATTTTTTCGGCTATTATTTTGAGAGCGGCTATACAATGTTATTTTTTTGATTTTTTTCTATGGGCCAAATACGAGAATTGTGTGATCATCTCATCTACAATTTAATTATTAAAAATAGTACACTTCATTTTCTTAATAATCTTCAACGATGACCTTGACATTCACACACGATTATACATATGAACCAATATTTATCGTTCAAAATTGTTACACAGAGACCGTGTGTTACTAAAATAAAGCATATATTCAACACAGGTATAACATAGAAAATACTCGATCACATTACGAAACTTGAAACTGATAATATCTGAACAATATACGTCATGAGACATGCTACGATTTAAGGATTTCTTCTTGGCTTATGTTGCAATTTTGGGACTTTGCTATACTAAAGTTCGTAAAAGCCATTGTCATCAAATATTTGGACGTCGAGAATTAATTAACTTGCCCTCTACGTGAGGCTATATATACAACAAAGCAGTCATCGTCTCCTTGATTAATTTTGCTTACTTTATATATCTGGATACATATTCAACCTCGAGTTTAATATATATATATATATATATATATATATATATATATATATATATATATCACGTCAGTTTAAGAAATTTTGTGCACTATTAAGTCGCCCAAAGAATATCTACAAGTAATTGTTGATATGTAATGTTGAAAATAAGACCGATTACTTGCGACAAACATATTCTGATTTCTTCATCTATCTCGACTGTATTGCCATTTTAGACTTTATTTAAGTCTTCACAGCAGCATCCAAGTATCCAACAGCCAACTGCTCAAAAGACTTTATTTCACCTAAAATAATCCAAACACCAATAAGTCATCTTTTTTCTTTTTCCAAATATATTTCCCAGGAGAGCTAGAGTGTCGAGAGCGGGTTCGGCCGAACCCAGTAGCTTTAGTTTGAACTCTGTATTTATCTTTAAATATTCATTAATATATACAAATTATTAATTTAGAACATTAAATTACCGAATCCATAAACTTGAAATCTTAGCTCCGCCTCTGCCCGCCCCCCTCTCTCCCCGTACGTATCTATCCACTGTTTGGTTGATATATTTATTGTTGGAGGAATCACGACAAGGACAATATTGTGTGTATATATATATTTATTTATGTATGTATATTTGTCATGTGACCAGTACATCATCAGCCTTCTTATCTCTCTCATGGAAAAGCATTCCCACACAAAATCCTTAATCCACTTCTCCATAATATCTGTAAGCTATTACGGCTAAATTATTTCAACAACCCCAAGCATATATATATATATATATATATAAAGCCTGCACTCTTCTCTTTTGAGATATAATCATGGGTTTTGTTTGAATAATTTGATCCCACTTTTGGATTTCGAGGACGAAACAAGAAGCTCATTGTTGTTGATTATAAAGGTCACTTCACCATTGCCTTATAAGAGCCAATGTTTTTCCTCGTACATCTGCATTACACGTGCCCAAGGGTGTCGAGTTGCGCGCGTAGTGTTCTGCGTCAGGTAAATTAGTCCAACTTCTTCTAGTCTATACAATGGAATTAGCGACGAACTTCATCGCTAATCTATCCCTAATCGCTCGTAACTAACAAAATTTCTTAATAATACGTCGCTAGTCCGTCGTTAAATGGGATTAGCGATGGATTTTTCTTCTGGCTACAGAATTTGTTCGTCGCTAAATCTTGTTTTTTAGTAGTGAGTGTTTATAATATAATTGGTGAAACAATATGGGTTTATTTGGAAAGAAGCATGTTTGTGTATTTTGTAGTTCCTCCTTTGTTTGCTTTAAAACTGTTGAGTAATGATAATTAGCCTAAGGTAGTTTGGCTTATTGACTAATCAGAATAGTTCTCTGGAACATTAAAGTGCTGCTACAATCAAACTTCTCTATAACAGCTTTGTTTGTTTCGAAATTTTTTGGCTGCTATAATAAGTGCTGCATTATGGCATAACACGAAAAATTAGTTCCAAAGAAAATTTGGTCATTGCTATTATAGAGAGGTTTAGCTGTATATTTAATTTTTTCTTTCCATATTCCCAATTTTTTATTTATTTATGGCTCATTAGAATTGAAACTGGCTACCTATCTTTGGCCAGATATTTTTCTAGGGATTGAAGATGGAGGGAGTAAGATATTCTGGATATGTTTTTACTACGGCAATTTATTGTTTTATGCTACTTACAGTTGCTCAAGTTACTCATCCTTCTGAAGGTTGGCTTTCTTCACTTTTCTTAATTAAAAGTTTATATTATCTTTCTTACAGAATTCTTGAGCACAATTTTATTTTGTGCTTCGAATGCATAAAGGGTTTGTTGCCAAAAAAATTTCCCATAAAATATACTCCCTCCCTTCCAATTTACGTAAATTTATTTGACTGGGCACGGAGTTTAAAAAAAATAAGATTTTTGGAATTTATGGTCCTAAACAAATCAAAAAGGGGCCTAGAGTATTTGTGTTGTTATAAAAGTTTCTAAATTGTTTCCAAATTTAGAAATTGATTATTCTTTTTGGAATGGACCAAAAAAGAAATAGATTCACATAAATTGGAACGGAGGGATTAAGT